GAGTGGGAGCGCGTGTGTGCGAGAGTGTGCGCGCAGTGGCGCCGCCTCCGCCCGCCCCCCTCTCGGTCCCGCTCGCTCTCCGAGGCCGGGCGGCCCTTCGCGTGTCCGCACTCCCTCCCCTCCTCCTCCTCCTCCTCCACCATTTTGCGAGCTCGAGTCTGTGACGGGAGCCCGAGTCGCCGCCCGCCCGTCGGGGACGGATTCTAGTGGGTGGAAGAAGACGCCGCAGCTGGAGAACAGCCGAAGCGGCGGAGCGCCGGGACGGAGGACGCGCGCCCGGGAGCCTGGCCCGCGGAGACGGGCGCGGGGTGGGGGGCTGGCTTGTCAGCCGGGAAATGGGGGACTCTCTTAAATAGGGGCTCTCCCTTCCCCCCACGGAGAAGGGGGCGGCTGTTTACTTCCTTTTTTTAGAAAAAGAATCTCTCTCCTGCTCCTCCTGCTTTCACACGCTAAGTTGTTTATCTCGGCTGCGGTGGGAGCCGCGGACGGTGGCGCGTGAGCGGCACCACGACCGGAGGTAAGAGGCTGGGGGCCGCGACCCGCGCAGGCGCTCGCTCCCCTGAGGTGCGGTTCGGGGGCCGCCACGGGAGCCCACAAACTTTTATTAGCCTCCGGGGGTGGGGGCTGGCGAGGGCTGGGCGACGGTGACGAAAGGGCAGTGCGCGGGTGACAGCGCTGGCCTCTTCCTCTCCCGCGGCCGCCTTCCCCCGGCCTGGCCGAGGGGGAGGAACCTGAGCTCTGACTCTGCTCGTGGAGCCTCGTCGAGCTGCCCCAGGTCTCGAGCCTCTTGTTCCCTGGCGTGGTATCCTGGCCTCTCGTTTTCTTTCAAGTCCCCTTCCTTTTCCCTCCCAGGGGGCCGCCCAGACACCCATTTTTATGGTGAACGCTGAGCCGCGTCTGAATTCTACTCTCCCGAATATTTCCACTCCGCCCTGGTGCGCCCGAGCGCGATCAGGGTTTCTGTCAAGGCTCCAGCGCGTCTCAGTTCTGGCGGGCGCGCAGGGTGTGAGGGTGTGTGTGTGTGCGTGTGTGTGTGTGTAGTGTGAGTGTCAGCGCACACGTAGGGGGCTGACAGCCTGCAACTTGGAGACTTCGGTCAGGGCTGGCGTTATCGGGTAGGAGTGGGCGTGTCGGAGGGAGAACTCAACAGGTCTGTACACATTTCTCTTTTAACCTCGCACTTTTTTCTCCCCTCACCCCCAAGAGGGTTTGTTCTTTGGCGCTTGGCAGCATTTCGCGCCTGACGTTTTTTAAGTGGCTGCTTTTCGAAAAAGACCCTGACGGTAATCGTCTTCTGGTGCGGTTTTTGACAAGCGCGTTTGACGATTGAGGTTGCAGACTTGATAATGGCAGCCTTGTCATACCACGTAAGACCCCTTGGCATAGTTCATTAAGGCCGATTAACGTGCAGCGTTATTTGCGATTTAAACTGGAGGATACAGTCATTGGAAGGATCGTTTCGTTTTATAAGGTATTGTTTTGGTTTCGAGTTTGAAGGCAGCTGTCAAAGCGGTGTAGAAATTCATTAGGTCTATTTGATACCTTGTGTTTAGAGATCTTTATCAGATAAACAGGGCGGAGAGGAGGGGAGGTAAGCAGTTTACCCTCAAGATTTGTAGGGGCAGATCCCTCACCCCTCAGTCTACCTTCATCATACTCCATTTTCAGCGAAGGCCAGTGAAGTTTATGTTTCTTAAAGTCTCCGTACGGGAAAAGTTTCCTTTCATTGGATGGGATTTGACTAGGATGTCGCAAATGTGTTTATCCCTCCTCTTAAAACATCCCGATGATTACCAATATATTAGCAAACTAATCCTTTAGAGAATAAGCCCAGAATTGAGATAGGTGAAGATTGAGAATGCAGAGAAAATTATTCTGAGCATTTTATTGGATTTTTTAAAACCCGGATTGATATGAATGTGATTTTACAGTTTTGGGTTTTTCTATTTTTCAGTACTTCAATATTTAGAAAGGAAAAATCTTAGAGACATAATATTTCATACTGAGGATCTTAAGTAGTTCTAAAAAATAAATGTAGCTTTATATATATATTATTGAGTGGCACTGAATTTGTTATACTTAAGCTAAAATTGTAATGAAAATCTGCTACACTGTTCTTTTAAAAAAATCTAAATTTTACTTGGCTTATATACAATATATTTCATTTTGCATGCCCAAAATTTGAAGGCAGGCACTATTCAACAGGTATGCTCAGAAAGTAATATGGGTTAAAAATAAGAGCCTTTTTCTATCCTATCGGAAGATGATCAGATTATTATTGTTTATTTTTCAAATAAAATGTGCGTGGTTCACCAGTAGGTTGTACTAAAAGGTTTAAATGTGTGACAAGCTGGTAGGAGGGGAATTTGGGAATAATTAGAGAATTCTAGCATAGTATTTGTCAAGTTTTATGTGTTTTGATTCTCAAAAGCAAACAGCCGTGATTTAGAAGAGATAAGGAATTTTAATGATCATACTTTAAAAACAATAAATACTTTGACATCAACTTGAACCTTTAGAATAATCAAATGTAATGAATTATGTCTATGATTAACAAAGTTACAGTTCTGTGAATGGCAGGATGAATAGGCTACCTTAATTTGATGCAATTTTGTCCTCAGCCGTGCAAATGGACTGCATTGTACTTTTAAATGTGCCACACTGAATGGGAGCAGGGGACATGGCATTTTTATTCTGGATGACAGAATCTGCTCTTTTGATAACAAGGAATTAGATTCGGAGTTAACTAAAAGGTTCATTTAACAGGCTCTTACTAATCGGATCACAGAGATAATGTGACTTTATAGCTTATTATGTTCCCCCCCCCACCTTCTCTTTCTTTGTAGCAGATATTCACTGATGGACCCCAAGGAATCATTAAGCCCACCCAGTAGAGAAGAAATCCCCAGCAGTGTGCTTGGTCGGGAGAGGGGAAATGTGATGGACTTCTATAAAACCCTAAGGGGAGGAGCTACTGTGAAGGTTTCTGCATCTTCATCCTCACTGGCTGCTGCTTCTCAGTCAGACTCTAAGCAGCAACGACTTTTGGTTGATTTTCCAAAAGGCTCAGGAAGCAATGCGCAGCAGCCAGATCTGTCCAAAGCAGTTTCACTCTCAATGGGACTGTATATGGGAGAGACAGAAACAAAAGTAATGGGAAATGACCTGGGATTCCCACAGCAGGGCCAAATAAGCCTTTCCTCTGGGGAAACAGATTTTCGGCTTCTGGAAGAAAGTATCGCAAACCTCAATAAGTCGACCAGTGTTCCAGAGAACCCCAAGAGTTCAGCATCAGCTGCTGTTTCTGCTGCCCCCACAGAGGAGTTTCCAAAAACACACTCCGATGTGTCTTCAGAACAGCAGAATTTGAAGAGCCAGACCGGCACCAATGGGGGCAATGTGAAGCTGTATAACACAGACCAAAGAACCTTTGACATTTTGCAGGATTTGGAGTTTTCTTCTGGGTCCCCAGGAAAAGAGACAAATGAGAGTCCTTGGAGATCAGACCTCTTGATAGATGACAATTGTTTGCTTTCTCCTTTGACAGGAGAGGATGATCCATTCCTTTTGGAAGGAAACTCGAATGAGGACTGTAAGCCTCCTGTTTTACCGGACACTAAACCTAAAATTAAAGATAATGGAGATCTGATCTTATCAAGCCCCAGCAGTGTAACACTGCCCCAAGTGAAAACAGAAAAAGAAGATTTCATTGAACTCTGCACCCCTGGAGTAATTAAGCAAGAGAAACTGGGCCCAGTTTACTGTCAGGCAGGCTTTTCTGGGGCAAATATAATTGGTAATAAAATATCTGCCATTTCTGTTCACGGCGTGAGTACCTCTGGGGGACAGATGTACCACTATGACATGAATACAGCATCCCTTTCTCAGCAGCAGGATCAGAAGCCTGTTTTTAATGTCATTCCACCAATCCCTGCTGGTTCAGAAAATTGGAATAGGTGCCAAGGATCTGGAGATGACAACTTGACTTCCTTGGGGACTTTGAACTTCCCTGGTCGATCTGTCTTTTCTAATGGCTATTCAAGGTAAGATTAATGTTTTTCTATTTCTTATATTTAAGACAGATTGATAGATTTAAATATTCACATATTTGCATGTGTTCTTCAGTGATTCATGTGCTTCTCCATGTGAATAAGTTTAAGTGGTCTTTAGAAAGTATGCATGGTAGACAACCTAAGTGATTTATTTATACATGCAAACCACTTCAAATTTCTGAAATAATGGTAATCGGTATCCCATTGGCCCGAGGTTGAATATTTTATTTAAAAATTTAAAATCATATTGCTTATCAACAGGTATCTTAAGTAAAAATTGTGTAAGTTTAAGGACATATAATGTCTAATAATATATTTATTGTGCGAGTTTATTTAAGCTTCATAATCAAAAGTTGTGCTGCTGTATTTACATTTGAGAAGTGTTAGCTTGAGGAGATTAAAGAGTTAAAAATTAGAAGTGTTAACAATAAAGCAATGCAGTGAACAGTGTATCTGACCATAGAATGAGAGATGGGGCTTGCCAATAGGGTTCCTGAACTAAAGTTGACAAGTTGTGTCTGCTGATCAATCTCTTTAAGAAAGTATCGGTGGCAACATGGCACAAAACAGAATTTTACGTTCAGATGTTCTCACAAATTCTTAAATAGATAACTGATGGCCAACATTGTTAAGCTTTAACTCTCAGCTATCATTTGATGTGTTTCTCTGTCTTCTTTTCTCAGTCATTTATAAGTATGCTCACATTCCCGTTTGACCTCAAAAAGGTCTGTTAAAATGGAATTACCAAGAAAAAAGTTCCAAATTTAAATGTATCTCTTGGTTAAGTTCTCTTCCATACCCTCATCCCCAATTCAGATAAATCTGGGTTGTATATCACATTTTAGGTGTGAAAGAAAATATAAAAATGTGATTGTAGAGACACGAGGTTGATTAATCGGTGGGTTTTTTTTTTTTTAAGGCCTATAGACACTGCGGTTTATTTGTACATAAGCATTTCAAGGTTTTTCTTAAATGTTACTCATTGTTCCTATTAACTAGTCATTGAAAATTTTATTTAAGAATCTCTTTAAAATACTCTTTCTATTAAACGGCTATTCTAACACAGAGGTATCTCCTTCGTTTCCTCTTTAAATAGTAAGCTTTTCTTGTTGGAGAAAAATTTTAGACTTAGATTTAGGCTGTGTTCTATTACTTTAAAAGGCTTAGTTGTTTCTCATCAAAAGAAAAAACATTGGTTCTTGTGTGTCTTAAACAACCTACTAATCTAATATTTAAATAATTACCTTTATTTAGATGAACACTACTTCAGCTTTTTATTGCTGTCATTCTGAACTGAAAATTTAAAATGTTTTCAGTAAGGAGATCTGAGATGTTTCTTATCTCGTTGTTTTTAAATGTTACAAGACATGCCATGTTTTAAATTTTTCAATCTCAAATTTTTGGCAGTGGATTTCATGATAGAATATGCTTGGTTGATTAAGCTGTCCACAGAAAACTATTACATTGATTTATATAAAACATGTAATTATACAAAGAAAAATAATATATCTTAGGAAACTCTGGGGGATTATTAATGCATTTTGTTTTGATAATCACTGTGGTATTGTTTTCATTTTCCTTACTATAACAAAGGTGTGGAACAAGAGTTATTTTCTATTCAAAATGAACTTTTATTAAGCCCCATAAAATCTGGGATTTGGAACCATAAGTCTTAGATGTACATAGTTGCCCATAGATCATTAAAGATAATTTTAATACCTCTTATTGTAACTTATGACAAATAACATGTCCTCACATATTTTTAATTTGAGCCTCATGGCAACCTTAACGACAGTAGGAAAGCAGTGACGATGTGGCTCTGTTCTTTAAGATCCAGTGAAATGATTTTTTCTGTGCTGATGTGTCATTTGGAATTCTAATCGGTAGTTTGTGTCTTAATAAAAAGGTGCAATATCTTATACAGGATCTTCTGGTAATGTTTGAAATTTTTATACCTTTTGGCATTAACTTAACATTGGGAACTATGATTACCCAGAACAAAGCCTCTTCCAAATAAATCGAAACAATGTTTCCTTTCTAACCATCATTGAATTAGTCTTTTGTTTCCAAACAACAGCCCTGATAGAACTAAAACTGGTTGCTTTCTCTTCTCTGTATGTTACATGGTTCTAGCCAAACATTAGGTATGACCAGTAACCCTGAATGATTAGCAGATAAATCAACAGGTTGAGACCACAAGTGTATTGAATACTGACTTTTGACATAAAAATATTAAATGTCACTAATAACTTCACTTGTATTCCTTTTAAGTTAAAAAAAAAAAAACAAATTGTAATTTGACTTTTTAAGAGGATATCTAAAATTGCTTTTTCTCAGGACACTTAAAAAAAACAAAAACTTTCTGCTCTGTTTTGAGGGGAAGGTAGTTCTTTCTGATGAGTCAACAGCACAACATATGCAGTTATCACATAAAATTGTGAAATTATGAGTGTCTTGATCGAGCATAGTATCTTCCTTTTAAGATTTAAGTTCATCAATATTGATAGTAAAACAAGAGAAACCTTATTGATGCTCAGTACATTTTTAAGTAAAACAAAGTAGCCATTCTAACTAAATATGCTTTTTAAAAACTGAAATTCGACAAATTTAGCATAAATTTGTGACACATATGAAGGCACATTTCTGCGTAATTAGATTTTCAACATTGTTTCACTTCAGCATTAGTGGTGAAACTGCTGAAAAGAGGCAGAGAAATAAATGGCTTCAGGTGGAATTAGAGCCTTTATTGGGGTCACATTGAGACTTCAGTGTTAAAAAGTTGACTCTATTCTAAAGGGTAAGATTGGAGAGAGAGAATGATGCAAGATGAATTTGTAAACTCAGTTTTAGGTGGAGTTTAGGACTCTGATGATTGGCAGTTAATGAAGCTACAAAAATTTATATAGATTTTTAACTTCTCATTATTTATTGTATCTGTGTCTAATTTTATTAATGAAATTGAAGACCTGTACAAACAAACACAGGGAGTGAAGCAAATTCTGTCCTTCTTAACATTGTGTTGAATGTTTTCTTAGAAAGAGAGGAATAAGAAGATTTTGTTTTGATTTGATTTACCTGTGCCTTTTTAATGGCTACTTTTCTTCTTACCTTTTGTCTTTCCTCCCAAAGGTTCTGGCAGTGTTTCAGTGTCTTTTTTAAACTTACTATTTCTGATATTCACTCATATAAAATGATTTCTAAATGTTAAAAGAGATTGGGTTTTGTTATTTACTTATTTCAGTTTTATGATAAGGATCTTTTTTTAAACCCTGTACTTTGTTAAACCCTGTACTTTATTATGGCTATATTATTAGTAAAAGATAAATCTCTCTCTCTCTGTCTCCCTCTCTGTCTCCCTCTCTGTCTCTCCCTTTCTGTCTCTCCCTCTCTGTCTCTCCCTCTCTGTCTCTCTCTCTCTGTCTCTCTCTCTCTGTCTCTCTCTCTCTGTCTCTCTCTCTCTGTCTCTCTCTCTCTGTCTGTAATCAGGTGCGTCAATTTAGTGGAATGACTCCAATACAGAAATATGTGAAAAGCATGTGGTCGGATTTTATTGAAATTACTTCTTGTGATCTTTCTTTGGCTATTCAATTATATTTTTGTAATTGATAACATGTTTTGTGTCACAATGGTGTTTTGGTTTTGTCTACTGGTGTTATAGATATTTTAGTCATGACACTTTCAATGTATTATGGAATGTCTATAAATTGTATAAAAGACTTATTCTGAAATATTTGCATAAATGTAGGTTAAGTGCAAACTGCATTAATAGTGAAATTCATATGAGTAGAGATCGCTTTAGAGGCATTTAGTGAAAGAGAGATGAGATCAAAAAGAGTTTATTATAGTATGAGTGCTGAATGTGAAAGAGCATCTGTATTAATTGGCTGGTTATATAAGTCTTATCCACTCTGGTCTGCAGGTGATTGAAATAGCCTAAAATAGCCTAGTTGTTAAGAAATCTTAATTTACGTTATGTTTAAAATGAGTCTGGGGCATATTTCTTAAAACATATTTTTTCTTAAAGATCACACCTAATTTTAATTAGCAGTGAGTTCTCATTATGTAGTACTACTTACGTGAGCAAATTAAATAGGCAAAATAGGTTTGCGTTGAATAGCATTTACCCTTCTAAGGACATCCTGATAATTGTGTAATGCAGTATTTACAGGTATTTGTCAAATTAACGGGCACTTGCTTTCATATTTCTGAATCGTGGCAAATATGTACATTGGTGAATTGTGATGCAAAAGAATTTTCAAGAAATGTTTGTTGAATTAAGCTGTAAATGAAAAAAAAAACAATTACTTACTGACCTTTACAGAAGGGTTTTGAAAGCCCATACTCCCCTTATTTCTGTAGTTTCGGAGAGCCAAGTGCTCTCATTTTCTTCTGGCTTATTCTACTTGGGTTTTGTATTTTTTCAAGTAAATAAAAATGTTCCTATGGAGCACTTCCATTTGAAAAAAGAAAAGATCCATTAGGTGTTCCTTTTCCTTTGAATTTTGTCATCATTTCTATGCTAAGCTGGATTAGACTGTGATTTTAATGGTGATTTTTGTATTTATTTTACACACTCAGGTATATTTTAGAAAAAATGTACAATTTTATAGCAGTTCAAAATTAGTTGTAGACAGTGATCTCAACCTCCAAACACCTAATTTTGATAGGTTGTCTTCTTTATTCCTCACTACCGTCACAAATGTCCCTTAAATGCAAAATTTCCAATGGAGTTTGTGGATTAATGGATGTTGTGAGGAAGGGGGTACAGGAGAGGGAGGAGCATTAGAGGTTTGGAATGGTGGGAGATAAGTTTAGAGTTATCAAGAACCATTTTGAAAACGATTTGAATCAACCGTCATGAATTCAGAGGACTAAAGAGAGAAATTTGGGGCTATATTTACATACAAGGGAGTGCACTAACCAGAATTACAATTCAGTTTCATTTGAGATAGAAATCTAAAGGTAACTGTGGCAATGTAGCCCTGTTTATA